GTAAAGTCGCACATGCGGCAAGTTTTTTTGTGTTTTGTTGGCAAAATGTACTCAGTGCCTAAAATCGCAAAATGTACTCAGTGCCTAAAATCCCTCGGAGTTTTGTGCAGAATATAGTTTTAGATATAATTTCCCTGTTTGAGGAGAGTGTTGCTCAAGTTGATAATCTGTCGGCCGGTGCAGAAAATGTAGATTTTGTTGAAAGGGGTCATTTGAATACCTTTAAAGAAATACTTTCCGTCTTGAACGAGTTCAGAACGGAATACAGAAGACTGCAAATTATGCAGAGAACTGGTAATTGCATAAAGCCGAAGCCGTATACTGTTGGCAGTGAAGTCAAAGAGAGGCTTGTAAATAATCGAATTGTCAAAGGATTGATTTCTTTGACAGGCCAGTTAGTACCCTTTAGGAAAGTGTTAGAATGCTTTTTTTCAATGCCAGGTGTTTTAAAAGAAGTAATGGACTATGTAAATAGGCTGGTAAACGAAACTTACGGAGTTCTTGGACATTTCATCCACGGCGCTCTTTGGAAATTTAAAGTTACAAAAAATTTTTCTGGGAAGTTAGTGCTGCCATTATTTTTTTACCATGATGAATGTGAAATCAAAACCGAGGGGGTAATCACTCGTCAAAGTGAGTGTACAGGATTTGTGAAAGTGACTTTAAAGTTACAAAAAGTGAAGTGAAAGTTGACAAAAGTGGAAAAGTGGAGTGAAAGTTGTGAGTAAGTAAAAAAGTAAAGTGAAAGTTGCCAAAAAGTTAAAATGTTACGTGAAAAGTGACGAAGTGAAGTTAAAGTGGTCACAAAGTGAGCGAAGTGAAGTTAAAGTTACCGAAAATTTATGGAAGTGAAGTTAAAGTTACTGAATAGTCAGAGAAGTGAAGTTAAAGTTAGGAGAGTTTGCAGAAACTTGTGCACTCCTACGGTGGTTCTTACGCACTATTGTGTCCTGGTCTGTCAGAACAGAACACAACTCACATTCCTCTCTTGACACATTCCATTCTTTTAAAATTCCTAGATAAATTCATTAAAGTAATAGAAGCAAGAGACAGGAGGGGAGCGCACTGTGCGGATGCGGATACTCGTAAAGCACGGTGGCGCCTCTGTGAAGTGTCGCCGGAGCCTAATTGAGATTGACGTGCAAGCACTGTGCTCTCCGCTCTTTAAGGTCTGCCTGCGGGTAACTTGACAAGATAATTGCGTGATGCTCTTGTTCTCTCTGACATCTTTATGTACGTCCGCAAATGAATAGTTTCCGCGAACAAGCGACTGAGCTTGCTTCGCGGAAAAAGTACCCCTATCTTTAGTCCTGCTCTCCTATTGGTTATTTGGGGCTCAGCCTTACACTATAAGAAGGGAGCCTTAAGCCGAGGAGCTCACTTCAGTGCCAGCCTCCGACTAGTGTACGTCATGCTGTTAAAAATACCATCAGTGCATAGTGTTGTGTTGTCCGAAAAAGAAAATATGGATACCTCTGTGTTGGGTTTAAGTAAGTGTTTGGTTTAGGTAAGAGAGTGCGGCAAAAGGGGGTCTTGTTTTCTTTGAATAAATCTGATAAAACTGATTCTGATATCCATACATATCCTTGTGTTTACCCTGAAGTTACGATTGGAGCGGCGACGAGAAACAGAACTCACTTGCATAGTCACAGAATAGGCTATGGTAATGTTGTACGGAGCTTGAAGAACACTCACACAACATAAAATGGCGACGGGGATGAGATCTTTTTGAAAACTTTTCGTTTCAGTTGTTTTCCTGTGGGTAGATAGAGGAAATTTATGGCAAATGGATATTGAAAATCAAGTTGAGATAGTGATAGTGCATGATTCGCGCGTATGGCATTTTCTGGCCTTTATTGCCGCTATCATGTTGATGGTAACAGTGCTAATGATATTTATGTAAATGGATTTGGGAAACCCCTTTGAGGCAGATGAGAGAGAGTGGCGCTGCTTTTTATTTGTGACTATTTTTATCTTAACTGCCCTTATTGTTCAGATTGCATTTTTGATTATGTTGTGCATTTGTGTTGACGCTGCAGTCCACACATCGATTTATTCGGCGTGCACTAGTATTGGTTTCACTAGAGGTTAAACTTGTACATTCAACGAGATGAAGTGGTGCCTCTTCTGTACCCTTGTATTCCTATTGGTATTATTAATCGGAGTTGTCCAAATTTCTTCAATTGGCGCGAAACACTTTTGTGTATGCACCAGCCCAAGTGCTAAAGTTTCTGTAATTAGTAATCCTATTTGTCTTCTGGTTAAAATTCTATCATGAGTGAGGAGAGCTCCTTTGCTCAACTATTTCCAGACATGGCCGAAAACAATTATAATGAAATAGTTTCTTAAGCCACGAATTCGGCAGCAACAATGGCTCAGGAAAACCCACCTTCAGTTAAAACAAATGTAGAACCAAACCCTTCAGTAGTCACAAATAGTAGCCCCGACCCAACCAGCAATATTTTCGCATACCCCGCAACCTTGGGTTCTCTATTTAATTCTGTAGAAAAATTCTTTGGTGATGGGACAGATGAATTATCTGCCCGAGAATATATTGAAAATTTGGAAAATCTTAAGGTATTTGGAAACAGGAGTGAGACTCAATCAATCCAGGTAGCTATTACCCGCCTCAGCGGAAATGCCAGGGAATATATAAAATCACTCGGAGAATCTCAAGAGGTGAGGACATGAAAAGGGTTCAAGGAAGCCTTCCTCTCACGATTCCACATTGATGAACCTCATGTAGCGCTCATGAAGAAATTTTACAGTACTGTTCAAAAACCCAATGAGAGTGTGCGAGAATTTGGCCAGCGACTAGCAACCCTGTGCCAAAAGGCGTTTGAAGCAGGTGGTGCCCCCACTGACTTAAAGAAGCAGGAGTTTTACAATAATTTGCTTTTAACGCGTTTCTTTACGGATTAAAGGGGGGAATCCGCAAGACTGTAATGGTAACCAAACCAGCAAATTATAAAGCCGCCCTTACGTTGGCTATGTCATTAGAAGACATTGATAGATCAGATAAAGCAGCTTCATTTGGGATGCACGTCGTAGGATCCCAAGGGTACGTTCAGTACCCCTCTTTTCCTCGGTCTCCTGAGCAGTCCAATAATGGACGGCCTCAAAATTACCAAAATTATCAAGGGAATAATTATAATCGCCAGAATAACTCCAGACAAAATTGGGGAAATTCCCAGGGCAACCACAATAATCAAAATTGGGGAAGTCAAACCAATTATAGAGGCAATCAAAATTGAGGAGGTAATCAAAACCATTACGGAGGAAATAGGAGCCAGCCAAATAAGCAAAACTGGGGAAATCATCAGCACGGCAACCAGAATAACGGGAACAACCAAAATTGGAATAGGAACAGGGGACATGACCAACAGGCAGGTCAACCAGGGAACAGGTCTGGAAACGGACCTAATCCAAACCAACGTTCAGGGAGGGAACGCGACTTCGTACAGGACCAGGCGCCTCTGTACGAGTCGATCACGCCGCCAGCACCCTTGATGGCGGGACAGCTGACTGGACGACCACTCCCGCCACTGCCAGTGGCAGCGCCCCCGCAGTACATGTTGCAGGCGCAGCCAACACCAGTGCAGCCGCCACTGCCACCGCCGCACCAGACCGCGGCGCCCTTGCCGCCGCCACCCTGGGCGCACCTTGGCGGCCAGGCGCAGCATCCCCAGCTGCTGCCCCTTCCGCCTCCGCCCCCGGCGCATCAGCAGACGCCCACCACCATCACCCTACGGAAGGTGCGTTTCTTTAAGGCCCCGAAGCCGAGCTCAGCACCTGCACCCACACAGACGAGCCCACCACCATCGCCAACGCCGACGCGCTCAACAGCGCTAGTGCTGTGGAGGCACCTGTGGAGGCACCGCAGCTACCGCCGCCGCCGCCGCCACCTTCCCCCCAGCCCCACACGCCGCCCGCCCCAGCGGGAGCCCTGCTAGACGCGCCTACGCCGGTGCAGAAGGGATGGGAGCCCCTTCTCCCCTCCCCACCCGGGGCCCCTCGGATGCCAACTACATGTAATCCCCCTGCAGCGACGGAGCAGGACGTCCGATATCTCAATCCAACGGTGACGATTGAGCGATTGGCCCCCAGTTCGGGGATAAAACGTAAACGCCGCCCGAAGGATGTCAGTCCCAAACCACCAAGTGTCATATTATTGCCCTCCCCGGCTGATGCTGCTGACACGTCGTCAAGCAGTGACGAACCGGCGCGGCCAATCCATTACAAGAAAACCCTGGCCGCTCGTGTCCGCGAGTTTATTAAGCACTAAAACCCCGTTTGTTAGTGTACATAGGTGTGTTAAATGTATGATCATGTGTCAAATGTATGTATGTATGTATGAATGAGTACCGAACAATCGCGTCGCCACAAGTGTACCGGTTAGTTAGCTTTGCTCACCTTTTTCATTGCATGTTCTTCCTTTTTATTTTATTTTTATTTTAGCTCACTCAATCTTAGGTCAATCGAATTAATTATACTCTTTATTATACTTTTTAATCCTTTATATTTGATATCAATAATTATTAGTTCGCTTATTTAATCTTTTCTACTTGTCTAATTGATTTTTTTTTGCACCATTTATATTATACAATTCCTATTATCTTATTCATTTACGTTTATCTAATCTTTTCTATTTTTATCGATTCACTTATGTTTACTTTTGACCTTTTTACAATTTTTTTTAAACCATTTCCAATGTCCATATTCTCTTATTCATTTATGTTTATTCACACTTTTCTACTTTTATACTCACGTTCTTTTGTATAACTATTAGGATACAAGTATACATCTCATATTGCCCTAACTATTGTTTCTTTTTTTTTTTTGGAGACTTTTTAATAATTATGACCTTTTAACACTTTGACGCGTCCCAACAACAAAGTTCTATCTGCAGAGTGCGGATTACACAATGTTCTATCTGCAGAGTGC